TGAGGTTGATTAATTTTTTAAACGTTGTTTTGTTTTGAGGAGTGTAGCTGCAAAGGAAAAATTCCCCTCTGCCCTCTCAAGGTTCACTGAAAAAGACTAAGTAGAAAAACTGAAAAAGATTAAATAGARGGAAAAGCATGCAAATATGTTAATATGCAAAAGAAGGAAGCCACAGCTTGGGGGGGATCACAGGAGTATGATGACAGCCCCCATCTACTTAATATTTTTCAGAAACACATACCCTTTTTACTATGGGGGAAAGGAAGAATGGAAATGCAGACAATTTTGAGAGCTTCTAAATGTCAATTAGGGGAATGAATGGTCCCAGAGATGGTCTCTGGAATTTGAATGAACCCAGGAGTTACACATTTTCTTGTAGGGGAAGTCCAACGAGGTGGTGTTACACTCTTTTTTATTTTTATTTTTTTAATATAGATAATGGGACTTCAGGGTGGGGTGGAAAGCAACTGTGTTCCCTTTGCAGTCTGCTCTTAAGGCAGATAAGGGAATTCCAGAGAGTTTCTCCCCAAGCTTGGGTGAGAGAAGCAAGAATGATTCTAAGGTCTTTTCATTCCTTTTAGATCAAATTGCTCAGTATATGATTTTTTTTAAATAATGCTACATTTAAGTGGGGTGTGATGGCACCTGCCTGTAATCCAGCAATTCAGGAAGCTGAGGCAAGATGATTACAAATTCAAGGCCAGCAACTTYGTGAGACCCTGCCTCAAAATAAAAAATAAAAAGGGCTGGGGATGTAGCTCACTGGTAGAGCATTATTAGGTTCAATCCCCAGCACAACAACAACAAAAAGCCATATTTAGAGGGAATTGTTCTCTGAAGTCCAACAGTAGCAAAGAGGAAAAAAAAGGCAAAAGGTAAAAATAATATTTAGGGAAAGGTGATTGTTATAAGCATTCTAAAATGTCCTACAATCAAAGTTCTTCCAAGCTCCAGGATATAAGCCAAATTACTCCTTTCCTTCATTACCACCCATCCTCAAAGACATTATTAGATAAGGATCTCCCCAGCCAAACTTCTCCAGAACAACTCTCAACTCCTTTCAACAAAGAATCAATCGGAGTTTCTTAACATTTTGGGGGGCACTGACCTCCCTGAGAACCTAATCAAAGCTAAGGCCATTCCCCACAAATATGCTCATACAGAAGCCTACACTTTCACATGCCATCACAGATGTTTGGGCTTCCTGAAGCCCATCCAGCATTGAGTGATGCCATAGCAAGAGGTCCCGCTAAAGAGGAGAAAAGAAAGAGCTGAACTAAGAGACAATCCGGCAGGGCACCAAGCAGCCAAGTGCAAGCCATTTTCTTAAAAAAAAAAAAAAAAATCCCAAATTCACAGTCCCTAGCTTCATTCACAGTCCCTAGGCTACTCCCTGTTCAGTACCTTGCTCTTTTGAGATTTGAGGAGGAAATAAAGCACCAGTGGCCAAAGYGTGGTGGTTGTTGGGGCAGACCCCAAAATGGCTGTAGTTAGGCTCTCTCTCGGAGACTTCCATTGGGCTATGTTATGTTTTTAGTGTGTACCAGGACTGGGAACCAACTAGGTTATGGTGAGTCAAGGCCAGAAACACCCTGATTCAGCATATATATATATTCAAGGTCATAAACATTAACTTGTGAGGATGTGTTCCCTTATGTGACCTGTTGGCAATGCCTTCTTTGTTTGGACTGTATATAAAAAGGGTCAGAGTGAAAGGGGCTACTGGGAACTGGCTGAGGCTATAGCTGAAGCTGGAAGCTGGAGGCTAGAGGCTGTGGCCACCACTGAATAAAGCATGTCTACTATCCTAACTGCACCTTGCATCTTCTTCCACATGCCAAACCCCCAGTCTGTTTCCTGGGTCAGAGTCCCCACATGAGGATATGAGGTCATCAAATGCACTGTCAGGCATGGTGGCCCATGACTGTAATCCCAGTGGCACAGGAGGCTGAGGCAGGAGGATTGCAAGTTCAAAAGTCAGCCTCAGCAAAAGTGAGGTGCTAAGCAACTCAGTGAGACCCTGTCTCTAAATAAAATACAAAATAGGACTGAGGATATAGCTCAGCGGTCAAGYGCCCCCGAGTTCAATCCCCAGTATCAAAAAAAAAAAAAATCAAATGCCTGGTCCATCCACTGCCACAGCTAATGACAGTCCTGCTCCTGCAGCAGCCCTTCCCTTGCCCCATTCCCCCCACAACCCTTTGTGATGCTCCCATTGCTCCCTCCACCCCATAAGGCCCTCTACCTGCTCATGGGCCTGCTGCATGGAGCCTTTGTGGTCCACAAAGGAGGAGCGTTGGAACTAAGACAAAGCAAGCGAACCAGCAACAGTACAAAATGTAAGGGACTCTGCAGAGAAGCCAATCCAGGAGACATTTGGCCAGTAGCCTTACCCATTTATGGAAACAGCTGGCTGCTAAGAGGGTAGAAGAACTTTGATCCAACCAAAAAGCGTCGGATTATAAAAACCACAGCCACTTCAAAGCAAAACTCTATGTTTTGTGAACTTTGAGAGGAAGGGAGGGTCAGCTCCCTGTTGGAAAACAAAGCAGGGGCCTTGCTAACACTTCCCAAGGAGCCCTGGGGAGGCTGGCATGAGAAAAGTGAGGAAAAGGCCTCTCTCCATCTCTCCTCCTAGGGAGAGTGTGCGGCCATGCCTGCTGGGCCAGCTTCTTCCCTGAAGGGAATGACTCTGTTTTAGTCAGCCTTTTTGCTGCTGTGACTAAAAGACCCAACCAGCACAACTGAAGAGGAGGAAAGTTTATTAGAGGGCTCACAGTTTCAGAGGTCTTAGTCCATAGAAGGCCAGATCCATTCCTCAGGGCTCCAGGTGAGGCAGAACATCATGGCGGAAGAGTGTGGAGGAGGGAAGCAGCTCACATGATGATCAGAAAACAGAGAGATTCCACTTGCCAGATACAAACATATATCCCAAAGCCATACCCCCGATTAGCAGCCACACCACACCTGCCTCTAGTTAATCCCAACAGGGATTAATTCATTGATTAGGTTAAGGCTATACCCCCAATCATTTCTTCTCCAAACCTTCTTGCACGGTCTCACATGTGAGCTTTGGGGGGATACCACATCTAAACCATAACAGCCTCCATCAGAGGAGAGTGTACACACCWGACCTGGTCCTCACACAGAGGGCATCTGCTCTAGATGAGTTTCTCCTCAGGGTCACTTACATCAGCCTCCCTGATCTCTCTCCAGCCCCTCCCATGGCTCAGCTCAGGGTGTCTGCACCACCCCTTTCCCTTAGAAACAGGTGCCACTGCCAGCAAACCCCAGCCCTTGGCTTCCTCCTTCCCTTCCCCTCTCCCAGCCTGTAGGCTGACCAAGGCCTCCTCAGTCTCTCCAGGCCTAGGGAATACCAGCTCACCAGAGAGCAGAGCCCGCCCACCCCAACTTCCAGGCCAACCCTGTGGCTATGGTGGCAGAGGAGCGAGGAGGGAGGTGTGGTACAGCAGGGAGTAACTGAGCATGGCAGGGAGGAGGATCATCAACAGCTCCTCGGGTGCGAAGCTGGTGAGCCAGAAAGCTAAATAGGGTGTGAATCCATCCTTTATGTCTGCAGAAATCTAAGTCTTCACATGCTGGATCCCCCCCACCCCCAGTCCAGGCAATCAAGGAGGCAAAAGAGGTGGCTCTGGCAAGTCCTCAAATTAAGGTGAGCCTCCCCCTTCCCATACCATGCACCTCTCTGTTGTCCTGATCTTCACCCCATTACCCAAGCCTCGGCCCCCAGCCTGTCATGCTGATACTATGGCAGAGCTTGGGAAATGCTACTTCTAAGGCCACTGGATGGGGTAGGAAGACACACACACACACACACACACACACACACACACACACATACACAAAGTAGGCATGAAAGGAATTGTTCCTATCCTCGCCCCTTTTGGAAAGTGATTTTCAGCATTGGAAAAGTGAAGGCAGTCAACTGACAAAAATAAATAAATAAAAAAGTTGTCCTATAGAGAATGATGGGACTATAAATAATTTGAAGTCTTCATAACAAGAACTTGTCGAAGTCTTCAGGAAGACAGGGCAGAAGTCTGGAAGTCAGCCATGGCTTCAGAACACAGTGCTGCTTCCTTGCTCAGAGACATGACGCAAAATGTTCTGCCTTCCTCGACCTCAGGTTCACGACGTAAATAAATATGTATTGCCAGGTGGGGTGGTGCACGCCGGGAATTCAGGAGGCGAAGGGAAGAGGATGGCAAGTTCAAAGCCAGCCTCAGCAACTTGGCAAGACCCTGTTTCAAAATAAAAATAAAAAGGGCTGGGGATGTAGTTCAGTGGTAAAGTGCCCTGGTTTCAATCTCCAGTATCAGGAAAAAAAAAAAAAACATTATATATTTATATGGAGAGAGAGAAACAGGACTTGTACCCATGCTGTCTGATCCCAGACCATACTCTAAACCATATGAAAGAGAAAAACACCCCCATCCAAATATGTTTCTTTGACACATTTCAAGTTAGTTATTAAGAAATTGCTGACCTCTGTAAATATAGGACTAGCTCTGAAAAGTTGTTCTTTTATTAAGATATAAAGAAATGTATATCTATAAAGGAAATCTCTTGGTGAAAGAAACAGCCTGTTTTTCTATCTGCCATCTCACTTTCTGGCCTAGGGAAGATCTATTCACAAGAAGAAATGAGGGATCCAACACCTGGCCCAGACAGACTGCCACATTTGACTGTCACCTGAGAGACTTCACCTGCCTAACAAGACAACCCTCCCTGCTCCCTGTACACCTCCTTCCCTTGACCTTCCATAGCCTGTGCCACTTCCTTTCCCTCACCCCACTAAATAAAATGGCCTGGGGATGTGGCTCCGTGGTTAAGCACCCCTGGGTTTAATCCCAGGACCAAAAATAACAATACTACTCAGTAGCTTAGTGGTAGAATGCTTGCCTGGCATCATGCGAAAGACCCTAGATTCAATCCCCAGCACCACAAAATTAGTTAAAAAATAAAAAATTGTGTGTGTG